CCTAAACCCATATTATATGCTGCACAAATAATTCTGTCATTAGACTCCCCCGTATCCATGACCAGGCGCTGCCAATATAGAAATCACACCGACAACCAGGGACAATGGTGAAAAATGGGACTCCACCTTTGTGTTGGGTGTCTCTGTGTGCCGCATGGAGGGGAGAAAGAGCCGCAAAGAATTGTCTGAGGATTGAAGAACAAAAATGGTGGAAAAGCATGGACAATCTCAAAGTGACAAGTCCATCTCCAGAGATCTTAATGTTCCTGTGTCCACTGTGCGCAACATTGTTAAGACATCTACAGCTCATGGCACTGTAACTAATCTCCCTGGACAAGGTCAAAAGACAAACAAACATTTTTCAAAGATTGCAACGAAGGATTGTTGGAATGGTGGCTAAAGAACCTCCATCAACTTCCAGACAAATCCAAGTTGACCTTCAGGCACCGGGTACAACTGTGTCCGCTCCCACTATACGTCGACCATCTGAATGAAAAGGGATGCTATGGTAGGAGACCCAGGAGGACCCCACTGCTGACATAGAAATATGGAGAGAGACCCAGGAAACCCCACCGCTGACACAGAAATATGGTAGGAGACCCAGGAAAACCCCACCGCTGACACAGAAATATGGTAGGAGGCCCAGGAAGACCCCACTGCTGACATAGAAATATGGTGGGAGACCCAGGAGGACCCCACTGCTGACACAGGAATATGGTAGGAGGCCCAGGAAGACCCCACTGATGACACAGAAATATGGTGGGAGACCCAGGAGGACCCCACTGCTGACATAGAATATGGTGGGAGAGCCCAGGAGGACCACACTGCTGACACAGAAATATGGGAGGAGACCCAGGAGGACCCCACTGTTGACACAGAAATATGGTTGGAGACTCATGAGGACCCCACTGCTGACACAGAAATATGATTGGAGATCCAGGAGGACCCCACTGCTGACACAGAAGTTTGGTTGGAGATCCAGGAGGACCCCACTGCTGACACAGAAATATGGTAGGAGGCCCAGGAGGACCCCACTGCTGACACAGAAATATGGTAGGAGGCCCAGGAGGACCCCACTGCTGACACACAAACATATTGGAAACCAGATTGGAGTTTGCCATAACTTACCTGAGGTAGCCAAATGCCTTCTGAGAGAATGTGCTGTGGACAGATGGAACAAAATGGCAGCTTTTTGGTAAATCCCATCATTCTACTGTTTTCAGAAAAAGCAATGAGGCCTTTAAAGAAAAGAATCCAGTCCCTCCAGTCACACATGGTGGGGGGTCACAGTCCCTCCAGTCACACATGGTGGGGGGGGGGGGGTCACAGTCCCTCCAGTCACACATGGTGGGGGGTCACTGATGGTTTGGGGGTGCTTTGCTGCTTCAGGCACTGGATGTCTTGACCGTGTACATGGCATTATGAAATCTGAAGACTACCAAAGAATTCTGGGGTGCAGTGTGGGGCCCGGTGTCAGAAAGTTGGGTCTCCATCAGAGGTCAGGGGTCTTCCAGCAGGACAATGACCCAAAGCACACGTCAAACAGCCCCCAGAGATGGTTTCAGACAAAGTACTGGAGAGGACTGAACTGGCCAGCAATGAGTCCAGATCTCCATCCCATAGAGCTCCTGTGGAGAGATCTCAGGACATCAGTTGGGAAAAGGAACCTTCCAATCTGAGAGACCTGGAGCAGTTGGAGAAAGAAGAGCGACCCAAAATTCCAGCAGAGAGGTGGAGGAAACTCATTGATGGTTCCAGGAAGACATTGATTTCATGTATTTTTTCCAAGGCGTGTGCAACCAAATATTACATTGGGGGGTGCCAATACTTTTGTCCATTTTTGGGGTTTGGCGTGGAATGTGTCAGATTCGCATTTATGTATCTCCACTGTTTTGTGTCACCAAACCAAAGAAAGAAACATGAGAATGCCGAAACAATTGTAATTGCAACAATTTTCTGGGCGAAGTGGCGTGTGCGTTATGTGACAGAAATGCAGGGGGGAGGGGGGAGGGGGCGCATGATTTTCGGCCAGGACTGTATAAGTAGTAGGTACCTTCAGATCAGCTCAACAACTGGCTGTGTCCTGCAGCACAATTAAAGCCATTCTGTTCGGATCCCGATGCGTTCGCCTATTGCCATGGCTTTAGTTTCCTCTGTATTTCTATTGAGCGCACACAGCACAACCCCCGCAGACCCGGACTGCACCACAGTTATTACCGGCACTACAGACAGGATTTCGAACTCCGCTTTAGGAATTTTCCAGAGACTAATGGTAATTCTTCCCTCCCCCATTTTGCCCAATTACAGTACACAGCGAATGTATGTGTAATCTCCGCGCCATTATTCGGCCTACAGAATGCCTCTATTTGTTTCCCCGGAACACATTTCCCACATTTGTGGATTGTTGTAACAAAATGAGCCGTTTCTGGCAGGAGGCTTATATTGATGCTGCTTAATGTGATCCTACTGTTAGCGCCGCGAGGTGTGCGGCAACAATGTGCGCAGAGGGAACTCGGCCTGCAGCTCAAAGATTCTTCTTTTTTTTTTCTTCTTCAATACACTTATATTTATACGGATACAATTATCTATAAAAAGAAAATATTGGCAGTTTAACCCCTCGACTGCAGGGCACTTCTACCCCCTTTCCTACTGGGCACCTACTGGGCACCCCCTTCCTTACAGGACACCTTATACCCCTTCCTGCCTACTGGGCACTTCTACCCCTTCCTGCCTACTGGGCACTTCTACCCCCTTCCTGCCTACAGGGCACTTCTACCCCCCCTTCCTGCCTACCGGGCACTTCTACCCCCTTCCTGCCTACACCGGACACTTCTACCCCCTTCCTGCCTACCGGGCACTTCTTTCTACCCCCTTGCCCCGGCACCTACCGGGCACTTCTACCCCCTTTCCCGCCTACCGGGCACTTCTACCCCCTTCCCGCCTACCGGGCACTTCTACCCCCTTGCCCAGGGCACCTACCTGGGCACTTCTACCCCCTTCCCGCCTACCGGGCACTTCTACCCCCTTTTACCCCCTTCCCGCCTACCTGCCTACAGGGGCACTTCTACCCCCTTCCCGCCTACCGGGCACTTCTACCCCCTTCTTGCCTGCGGGGGGGCACTTCTACCCCCTTCTTGCCTACTACGGACACTTCTACCCCCTTCCTGCCTACCGGACACTTCTACCCCCCTTCCTGCCTACCGGCCTACACTTCTACCCCCTTCCTGCCTACCGGGCACTTCTACCCCCTTCCTGCCCACCGGGCACTTCTACCCCCTTCCTGCCTACCGGGCACTTCTACCCCCTTCCTGCCTACCGGGCACTTCTACCCCCTTCCTGCCTACCGGGCACTTCTACCCCCTTCCTGCCCATCGACTTCCCCCCCCCCCCTTCCTGTCCAGGCCAATTTTCAGCTTTCAACGCTATCACACTTTGAATGACAATTGCGCGGTCATGCAACACTGTACCCATATGAATTTTTTAGCATTTTTTTGAGACAGATAAAGCTTTATTTTGTTGGTATTTATTCACCGCTGGGATTATTATTTTTTTTTTTTTTTGCTATGTAAATGAAAAAGTCCAAAAATTTTGAAAAAGTGTTTTTCTTAAATTTTGCAAATAAATAATATTTCATCATAAATTTTGGCCAAAATGTATTCCGTTTATCATTTTAGTAAAAAAAAAACCCCAAATTAGTTTATAATCAAAAATTATATATTTAAAAAAAATTTTCTTACATTTTTATTTTATTTTTTTATATTATTTTTTTTTTTTTTTTTTTTTACATACTGTCACCCTAGCAGTATAGTGTCACCATGGTGACACTGTACTACTTGTGGGGGGTGATGAAGATTTTTTTTTTTTTTTACACTGTTTGCTTTTACACACATAAAGGCTGTACAATCATTTCTCCTTCTCTCTGGCTGCATTCTTGCAGCCATTGAGAAATACTGTGAGAGCTGTGATTGGTCACAGCTTGTCACATGGTAAAAAGGCTGTTGTGAATAGCCCTGTACCATGTGACCTCTGTGATCATTCACAGATTTCACACGTAGTAAGCAATGATGTCAGAAGTGATATCTTGCTTACTACTCTTCATGTGATCACTGATTGGCCAATCAGTGATCACATGATCGGGACCTCACACAGAGGTCCCGTACGACGATTGGTGTTCCACTGTGTCCGGAGGACACAGCCGGCACAGGATCGCGGTGTTGCGCGCTCCCAGTGAGTGCGCACAAGCAGGGGGCAGGGATCGCAAAAATGGCCTGGTCAGGAAGGGGGGGGCAGATCCTCTGGAGGGCAAGTAGTTAGAGAACCTGTCACCTAGAAAGCAACACATAGGAGACTTTGTGTCCCCTATATGATGAGAAAAAAAAAAAGTTAATTTTTTTTAAATTGCAAAAAAAAAAAAAGTTCTACCCAAGCACATAACATCCCCCAAATTGAGGCCCCTCCCCCCCCACATATATGGACGTACGAACGTCAATGAACACGTTAGGACGCCTACATGTGAAAAAATTGCGATACCCATGTAACATATCGCCGCACACGCCAGAGTGAGAGCAATAATGCTAGCTCCTGACCTCCTCTGTACCGCTAACCTGATGACCTATAAGGGGCTTTTGAAGCGTCGCCCATAGAAAATATAGGGGACTGAAGTTTATCGCCATTTCACAAGCGCACGTAGATTTAAAGTTTGGCATGTTGGGTATCTATTTACTCAAAGCAACCTCAACTTTTATATTTTACCAAAAATTTGGGTCATTTGTTGCATTTTTTGCTCGAAAATTCACTTTAGTGGTTCTTTTTTTTCTACTGAAATTTCGCATTTCCTAGACCTGCCTTTTCAACAAAGAGGAACCCTTGAAATGACGGTTCTGGTCTCGGGGAACCCCTGCTAAAAAATGACTATCTACAGCTCATGATACATTCATGTGATGGTCCTTGGGAAGAATGCCCCTTACATTGGTGATCAGTGGGAAGAATGTCCCTTACATTGGTGATCAGTGGGAAGAATGTCCCTTTACATTGGGGGTCAGTGGGAAGAATGTCCCTTACATTGGGGGTCAGTGGGAAGAATGCCCCTTACATTGGTGATCAGTGGGAAGAATGTCCCTTACATTGGGGATCAGTGGGAAGAATGTCCCTTACATTGGGGGTCAGTGGGAAGAATGTCCCTTACATTGGTGGTCAGTGGGAAGAATGCCCCTTACATTGGTGATCAGTGGGAAGAATGTCCCTTACATTGGTGATCAGTGGGAAGAATGTCCCTTACATTGGGGGTCAGTGGGAAGAATGTCCATTACATTGGTGGTCAGTGGGAAGAATGTCCCTTACATTGGTGATCAGTGGGAAGAATGTCCCTTACATTGGGGATCAGTGGGAAGAATATCCCTCACATTGGGGGGGTCAGTGGGAAGAATGTCCCTTACATTGGTGGTCGGTGGGAAGAATGTCCCTCACATTGGTGATCAGTGGGAAGAATGTCCCTTACATTGGTGATCAGTGGGAAGAATGTCCCTTACATTGTTGGTCAGGGGGGAAGAATGTCCCTTACATTGGGGGTCAGTGGGAAGAATGTCCCTTACATTGGGGGTCAGTGGGAAGAATGTCCCTTACATTGGTGATCAGTGGGGAAGAATGTCCCTTACATTGGGGTCAGTGGGAAGAATGTCCCTTACATTGGGGGTCAGTGGGAAGAATGTCCCTTACATTGGTGGTCAGTGGGAAGAATGTCCCTTACATTGGGGGTCAGTGGGAAGAATGTCCCTTACATTGGGGGTCAGTGGGAAGAATGTCCCTTACATTGGTGTCAGTGGGAAGAATGTCCATTACATTGGGGGTCAGTGGAAGAATGTCCATTACATTGGGGGTCAGTGGGAAGAATGTCCCTTACATTGGGGGTCAGTGGGAAGAATGTCCATTACATTGGGGGTCAGTGGGAAGAATGTCCCTTACATTGGGGGTCAGTGGGAAGAATTCCCCCCTTACAGATAGATAAAAGTATCAGTGGTGTCAATGGAATCTATCTGAGAGGCGGATATTGCTCATTGCTCAAGGAACCCCTATCAACCTCTGGAGGACCCTAGTTGGGAAACCCTGTCCTAGACCTTTGCGGTAATTTCATATGACCTAAAAAAATTGGAACTACCACTATTTTTAGTCTCTAGCTTTCAGAAAATATATCCTGTTGGGGGGGGGGGCTAGAAGGATTTTTTTTAAATAGTATGCAAAAAAGAAAAAAACAATGGAAAAAAAACCGCTCTGGCAGCGAAAGGGTTGATACGGCTGTAGCAGTTATGGGTCGGAGGGGGGGCCATGTTGGAAAGCAGAGGCGGCTTCCAGTCTGGAAGGGGTTAACCCTCCATGGATTATCACGCCTTTGTAAGGATCTCGTCTTCATCTTTTGTTTGGTGTTTTTTTTTTTTTTTTACAATACAGTGAATTAAAGAGAAGATTGTGCCGAGGTCTATTTTTAGATAAGAAATATTACTTTGAGAAATTCCATCACCTCTCAGGGTAGAGATTGTGTCACCCCCACATTCACACACGGCGCCGGCTCTTCTGTTTTCTGACCGGTTATCCGATGAGCGAGGGGCTTTGGTTTCCTACCTATAAATGCAGTCATTGATAAGCCTTTCAAAGGGCACAAAAAACCCGTCTTTGCTTTTATTCCTTCCAATGCTTATCTTCTTCACACAGGAAATGTATATAATTTTTTATTTAATCCGCTCTGTTCTTTTTTTCTTTTTTTTTCATTCTTGTGTTATCGAACTTGATACAATTTTATTTTCTTTACTACTTTGCAGAGCTGCCAAACCATTCACGTTTCTACCCCTTCAACTGCCTACCTAGGGCACTCGATGTACCTCCCTTGTCTGTCTCAGGTTAGACTTTAATGTAGGTTCTGCAACGTAACAGATTTTGCATTTTTTTGAATCTTATGCAGTAGCTATTATTTTTGGGAACTTTAGGAGGTCCTGTGTTGCTTACGGTTTTTTTTTTATGTTTTGTTAGGTGTGAGTTGAGTGGACTTTTTCTTGCGTTGTTATCTAGGTTTTTTGAGTTGGATGTTCTTAATGTTGATGTTGTAATTAATGGGTATTCTTTTGCCTAACGTGCATGATTTTTGTTAGATGTTTTCGGTAACTTTTGGTAATGGAAATTTTAGATGATGGGGGTTGTGTTTTTGCCGCCGGTTGCAATTTACCCTTTATGCCCGTTGGTATTACTTCTACCCCCTTTTGCCATTTTGTGGTACTCTAGTTTTCGTCTTTTTTGGCACTTATTTTATGTTTTGGCTTGATTGGGTAGATTGTTCATGTTGTGGTATTTGGGGTTATGGGTTTTGTTTTTTTTATATAGAATGTCTGTGTGGAGTTGTGTTACCCTTAACTATGTACCAGTGTAATTTTAGCGTGTTGGGTGATTGTCTGCATTGGGAGAGTGTGATACTTTAGGTGTCTTTCGAATATTTGAGTGGTACTTTGGTATGTTGGGTGTTTTTATGTGACACTTGTTGGTTCTTCTGTATTGTGGCATTATGTATTTAGTTGATTGTTACAGTGATAGTTGTAGTGATTTAATTTGTTTTTTTTGTGGTGGTGGGGGTTTGCCTAATTGGGGGTACATTTTTGTGTAGTCTGTTATTGTAGGCGTTGTGGGGGTGTTGTTGTGGTAGGTTTGTGGGTAAGGTATTTTCTTTTTTTTTTTATGCCGAAGGGTTATAATGGAGTATATGTTTTTTGAGTGCAATTCTTATTGTGATGGACTTTTAATTTTATGAACCATTGGGATGGCGGCTTTTTGTTCATTTTATTGATTATATGGGCATTCTACCCTATTCCGATGAGTGTTGTATTGTGGTTTTTTACCCGTTATTGTTTATTGGGCATTTTAAAGGTTTTTATTTTATTTAAACAAATGTTTTATTAATTAGATTTTCTGTAAAGTATTTGAAGCTTTTACCTTCTTTTTTTATGTGGGATTATAGGTTGATATGGTACCACACTGAATGGAGCTATGGTCGTTTGTTGTGAAATTGATGGGGACTTGGCATTTTTGGTGTTGTATAATGTTCGCATATGATAGTGGGCATTGATGGATTTGCCGCGTTTTTATGTGTTGGCCATTAGTTTCAGTTTTTTTTATTTTTTTTTTCTGTTTTTTTTTTTTTTGTTTTTTTTTTTTTTTGTTTTTTTTTTTTTTGTTTGGGGTTGGGTTTTTTTGTTTTTTTGTTTTGGGGGGGTTTTTTTGTGTTTGGGGGTTTTTTATTTTTTTTTTGTGTTTGGGGGTTTTTTTTGTTTTTTTTGGGGGTGGGTTGGTTTGTTTGGGTTTTTTTTTTTTTTTTTTTTTTTTTTTTTTGGGGGGTTTTTTTTTTGGGTTTTGGTGGGGTTTTTTTTTTTTTTTTTTTTGGGGGGTTTTTTTGGTGTGTGGGTTTTTTTTTGGGGGGGGTTTTTTTTTTTGTGTTTTTTTTTTTTTTTTTTTTTTTTTGGGGGGGGTTGTTTTTTTTTTTTGTGTTTTTTTTGGGGTTTTGGGTTTTTTTTTGGTTTTTTTTTTGTGTTTTTTGGGGGTTTTTTTTTTTTTGTTTTTTTTTTTTTTTTTTTTTGTTTTGTTGTTTTTTTTTTTTTTTGGGTTTTTTTTTTTTTTTTTTTTTTTTTTGTTTTTTTTGTGTATTTGTGATTTTTTTTTTTTTTTTGGGTTTGTTTTTTTTTTTTGTGTTTTTTTTTGTTTTGGATAGTTTATGAATTTTTTGTGGGGTTTTTTTTTTGGATGTTTTTTTTTGAGTATTTTGTTTTTTTTTTTTTTTTCTTTTTGGGGGGGTGGTTGCTGGGGTTTGTTTTGGTTTTTTTTTGGTTTTTGTGGGGTTTTGTTTTTTTTTGGGTTCTTTTTTTTTGTTTTATGTTTTTTTTTTGAGGGAATTTTTTGGAATTTTTTGGGGGTTGTTTGTTGTTGTTGTATTTTGTTTGTTTTTTTTGTGGTTATATTGTTTTTTTGTTTTTTTTTTTGAGGGTTGTTTATTTTTGGTTTTTTTGTCTTGTTTTGTATGAATTTGTTTTGTTGCTGTTTTAGGTTGGTTTTGGTTTTTTTTGTTTTTGTTTTTTTTTTTTGTTTATGCTTTTTTTTTTTTTGTTTTTTTGTTTTTTTTTTAGTTTTTTTGGATTTTTTTTTTTATTTGATTTTTTTGGATGGTTTTTGTTTTTTTGTTTTTTTTTTTTTTTTGTTTTTTTTCTCTTTTTGTTTTTTTGTTTTGTTCTTGTTTTTCATTTTTTTCTTTTTTTTGGAGTTGATTTTTGTTTTTTGTTTCCTTTTATTTTTTTTTTTTTTTTTTTTTTTTTTTTTTTTTTTTGTAATTTTTTTTTTATTTTTATAGTTTTTTTGGGTTTTTCTTTGGATTTTCTTTTTTGTTGTTTTTTTATTTTTTTTTTTTTTATGTTTTTTTTTTTTTTATGTTTTTTTTTTGTTTTTTTTTTTTTTAATTCTGTTTTTTTTTTTATATTTTGTTTTTTTTTTTTTCTTTTTTTATTATGTGGGAGTTTTTTGTTGATTTTAGGAACTTTTTTTTTTTTTTGTGGGCTTTTTTTTTTTTTTTATTTGTTTTTTTTTTTTTTGCTGTTTTCTTTTTGGAGGTTGTTTGTGTTTTTTTTTTTTTTTTGTTTTTTTTTTTTTTTGATATAAGTGGATTTGTAGGAGTTTGTTTTTTTTTTTTATTTTTTTTTTTTTTTTTATATTCAAAAGTTTTTTCTTTTTTTGAGAGCGATCATTTTTTTTTTTTGTCTTTGTTTTTGATTAAATTTTTTTTTATATTTTTTTTTTTTTTAGTTTTTAATTGTTTATTTTTTTTTTTTTTTTTGGTTTATCTTTTTTTTTAAGTTGTTTTTTTTGTTTTTTTTTATTATCTTTTTAGGGTTTTTTTTTTTTGGTGTTTTTGTTTGGAAGGCTGGTTTTTTGCAAGAGCTTAAAGGATTGTTTGGTCAACCAAACAGATTTTTTTTTTGTTTCAGTCGTTTTTTGTTTTTTTTTTTTGTTGTTTGTTTTGTTGTTTTTTTTGGTACTTTTTAAGTGGCAAAAGTATTTTCGATCCCCTTGCAGATTCTTTGCATTAGTGTTTTTTTTTTTTTATTTAGGTACGGGAGGCAGCGTTTTTTTTTTTTTGATGCCGGTTTGTATTTTTTTATTTTAAAATTTTTTTGTTTTGTTTTTGATGGTTTTTTTTTTGTTTTTTGAGAGGTTTTTTTAAGATGTTTGAATTTTTTTTTTTTTGTTTTGTGTTTTTTTTTTGTAGAATTTTTTGGTTTTTTTTTTTTTATTTTTTTTTTGTTTTTTTTTGATTTTTTGAGTTTTTTTGTTTTGGGATTTTTTTTTTTTTTTCGTTTTTAGCTTTTTTGATTGTTTAAGAATTTTTTTGTTGTTGTTTTGTTTTTGTGTTTCTTGTTTCTGGTTTTTTAGGGTCATTAAGGTTTGTTGGCAGGGTTTTTCTTCATTTTTTTTGAGGTGTGAATGGTTTTTATCATATCTTTTGTTTCCAAGGGTGGGAGAGGTCAGAGATGTGAATGGTCATTAACATTGTTTTTTGTTTCCAAGGGTGGTTTTTTTTCAGAGGTGTGAATGGTCATTAACATATCTTTTTTTTCCAAGGGTGGGAGAGGTCTGAGGTGTGAATGGTCATTAACATATCTTTTGTTTTTTTTTTTTTTTTTTTTTGAGGTCAGAGTTGTGAATGGTCATTAACATATTTTTGTTTCCAAGGGTGGGAGAGGTCTGAGGTTGATGTCATATGGTCATTCACATATCTTTTTGTTTCCAAGGGTGGGAGAGGTCTGAGGTTTGAATGG